AATACACACACACACACATACACACACACTCAGACTGCTGAGTAAGCTTGATGTTAGACACTGTTAACGTATTGGAGGCAAGAAAAATCCAACCTGCAATGTTTTACGACTTTTACGTGTGGATGTGAATCCCCTCTCAGACGAACAGACTGTGATGTACGGACTTGTCTGCCCAAAAATCATTACCCCTCCTCTGTTTGTGGGGCGATTGAATTACACAGACTCCATCTTTAAAGCCACATCATTCCTGAGATATGCAGTGCTGGCATAATGAAGGCTCTCCGGTTTCATTTTTAAATGACGATGACTCATTGGTTCTGTTGGGTGCGTTTAATTTAGATTATGCTGATTTTTGTCGCACGTATCCATTTTTCTCTTCCATTTGAGGTGATATTTTCAAAGATGTGTTTGTGTCAGGCATTTTGCAGAAGGTGAAGTTGCCTAAAAGTGAATAAAAATAGGACTATTGTATAAATCAACCTGACGCTGGCAGGTGTAAAAGTAAGAAAAATACACTTTTCTCTTTCTCTTTCTATTTTTTTTTTTACTTATTACCTATATCATTTTAACAATAGATATGGATTTTCTTTCTTTTCTTGTAATATTTCTCTTTTTCTTTTCATCAACTTATTTTATTATTGTTCTTGCACAGCACTTTAGTGCAGTTTTACACCTGTTTTTAAAGTGCATTATAAATAAATTTGACATCGACATTTGTTGGATGCATTGCCACAGAAGGTTTTGATTGGATCCTATGTGTTTCCATGGATCAATGGTGTACTAATGGATCCTGTTTTTTATTAAGTAATTTTGGTCTCATCCTAAAAAGAAACAAAAAAACATTGTTGGGGTTGAGTGTCAGTTGAAACTAGAAGAACAAAAGATACTGATTTTGTAAGCTTGATTATACTTTTGTCTCCTGTTTAATAACTGGCTTCATTTCTTTTTAAGTATGCGCTATTCACACATGCGCTGCAGTTTATAGGTGTAACAATCAGGTCTGATTGTTCCCGTTCTGACAGGTCCACAGAGGATCTTATCTTGTTTTTTTTTTTTTGTTTTTTTTTGTGTGTGCATACAATAAGAACAGAGTAAAGCTCAAATGAATCGGTGTTGAATAGAATTTCAAAATATTACAAATTTTAATCATATTCATCCAATTATATTGTCTATCACAAATATTCTCTCTTGAGCTTTTTTTTTTCTTTTCTATGTCTGCTTAGCTTCGTGAGCTGAGCATTGATTGTCTTACTGTAGTGGTTCCAGTGTTTTGTGCTGAAGTTTGACAGAAACCGGACTGAGCATATAGGCTGACTTTCGTCTCAAACTACTGTCAACTGCACAGCGAATCACTTGTCGTCCCGTAATTGTTCGACCTCTCAGCTGGGGCTGCTATGGTAACCTGGCACATGAAATGAAAGTGACATTCCAAGCATTATTTCTCCATGTTCTGATGTGCGTGTGTGTGTAATTTAATAAAGACAACCAAGGGAAAATTGAAAAACATTCTTGTCCGTAGGGAAGTTCCCCTCTTTTTTTTTTTTTTTTTTTTCCTCGTATCTAAACGTATCTTTCTGTATCACTCGTCTTCCTGTCCGGTCATCCAGAGAACATTATCATCTCAGCACATCTTACAAAAGATCTGTAAATCCTACAGCAGGACTTGCAAATTCCTCTTATTAAATGCTAAGTCTGAATAAACAGCAACCAATCTAAGTTGTTGATTTCAGTTTAGCTTCCATGAGGAAAACGAGATTTGCATTTATCACTGTAATCATTGTAAATGAGGCGTAATTCAAATTAGCAATTCACACAGGGTATTTTACGCGTTTTCATTTTGTATGCATGTGTGCCGTTGTCATGTTTAATAAGATTTAGGAAGACGGTTTGATACTGTGTGAGATGGGTTTATCCTCTGAAGCAAAGCTGTTTCGCCATGTGATGTTCTTTATTTAATTTTTTTTTATGAGATTCTGTTAGTTTTTACACCAGAGAAGTTCCACAGTTTTCTCTCCAGTCCACACATTATTTCCCCCAGAAGTCTTGGGGATCATCAGAGTGCTTAAAGTATTTACTCAGGCTGAAACAGTGCCAGAAAAGAAAGGGCAAAAAATAAAACAAGATATCTGTGATGGGGAAAATCCTTTTTTACCACACCGTAAGTGATTGTTACAGATCGAGTAATAGGAACCGTCACAGAGTAACTGAGACGTCTAACATTAGTCCTGCTACATAATATAAGAAGGTACTGGAGCACAAAACATTCAGAGTAACTCCCCACTTTCTGGGTAATTATGGGAAATAAAGAGATGATGATTACTCTGCATCGCGTGCTTCGCCCTGTAGCCTTGTTTATTTCACCGTATGTTTGTGTTCATATGAGCAGACTGGAATGGCAACATTGAGGTAAATGGAAATTAATCTGACAAAGAAGAGAGTTGGGTACAACCCCTTCAACAAAAAGTGTTAAACACTCTCTTCTGTATTGTAAAAAGCAATTTTCTCACTCACTACCCCCTCACCCACAACGATACACATTCCTCCCCATCCAAACACCACCTTTCGGCCCCACTTGGAACCCCTCGGTGCCCCTGGGACCTCCACAGATGCCAAACACTAAACATACCCTTTCTGGGAAGTTATTGTTAAGGTTATTTATAGGGCAAAGAGCTGCTGGCAGAGCAGAGCAGGCGAAGAGGGGGGAATAAGTCCTCCATAGTGTATTTTTATGCAACCTCTCCTTCTGAGACGGGGAGAGGGAGAAAGAGCCTCTGTGGTTGTACAAGCACCACACGGCTCTGCCTGCGGCTTCCTCTGATATTTATGTCCTGTTTGGTACTAGAATATTTTGGGAACCTCCCCTGAGATCCCCCCAGATTATACATCTGACATGTTCCTCATATCCCTCAACCTCCCACCCCCCTCACACTCCTACCCCTTAAAACACACACACACACACTTCCTCTCCACTTGTTGTTGCTGCCAAATAGCCACAAAATTAAATGGCGGAAGTAACACAATTGTATTCATCAAAGCAGATTATTGACAGATTAGAGCATTTACATGTTATCTGTGATTGAGAAGCACAAGTGCAGTTCCTGTTAGTTTTCCTTTAGTTTGGCCATTGCCTTTCTATGCATTCTCATCTCTCTTCCTCACGCTGTCTAGGATTTCTGCCATTGAGTTGGATTTCTTCAATTGAATTTCAACCAGGCCAGTCAGCGAACAGAAGGAGTTGTGAATGATTGATGTTGATTTTCTGCATTGTTTTTGAACCGTAGTCTGCCTGTAGTAGGTTTGATGTTTGGGAATGGCAGCGGAGGAAGTGAACAAAGCCATTCAGTCTGTACTGGCCACGCTTCCAAACACTGACCAATTAAAATCGCAGCAAGAGGAACGTACAAGACATTTTATTGCCTGACAAAGATGACGTAGCCTCACTCCCCACGGTGTTGTTCACAGTGCACAAATTTTCCGTTAAACTTCATTGAGCTTGCGCATTACATATTCCACAGCCAAATATTTGCAATTGTGTTCAATTTAAAACTTCAGCAGAGTTCATGCCTCCAGCAAGCCATCGTTTCTTAATAGCTGATCTAGGACATAGAAAATGGTTTATCAAGTTTTGACAGGTTAGGTAATCAAATTTGACCACATTGTCCTTGCTGTGTCTTTAAGTGGGTTATCTACTGAGGTGCAAGTCTTCTGGGGCAAGACTCTACCACTAACTTTGCACATGTAGCAACTGCGATTTCTGGCCGGCTTTTGCAAAATAGCTCAAATTTATTCGGATTGAACTGAAAACATTAGCTAACAACACTTTAAGTCTTGCTACACTTTCCCTAACATATGTTGGTCTGGACTTAACGCTTTGATATGAACCGTTTCTTTGTTGCTCTGTTGTAAGTCCAAATGGAGTCTCAGTCTCTGCCTTAGCTTTAGATCTACCACGTTTCCTTATTGGATTTCCACGTGTTTAACAATATCTACATTAAAATCAACTCTGACCAAGTTCCTATGTCTTGCTGGCAATAAGTATTCCTCCAGCATGATGCTACCACTATCATGTTTATCAGTGGGGAAGTGTTCATTGATATTTATATCACACACAGTATTTTTAAGGTTGACTTGCAATGCAAAATAAAACATTAGAATTATTTTCAACAGGACTCTTATATTCGGTTACAATTAATTATGGATAGAAATTGATGGGGTGGGAATCTCACAATATGGTCAATTTATATATACATAGGAAAGCAATTGAAATGTAGCAGCATTTTGTCAGAAGAAGGATATTTTTAATACAATATGTAAAATTAATAGGGAAGGTATGTTGTCATCTTGATGTTTCTTGCTCTGTGGAAGAACTTCCCGCATTTCTTTTTCTTATCCTTGCACTTTCTGTTATTTTTGTTTCCTTCCTGATGTCAGTATGTTGGAGCAGGCTGTTAGGTCACATCCACATATCGTCTTGAGTCACGGCAAGAGTGTTTAGCTGAGTCAGGTTTTCTCGTGGGCATTTTATGACTTTTGTCACCTCTAATCTGGAGAGTTTTTTTTGTGTGTGTGCTTGCTGTGCATCTGTGTTCTTGCTATAACTTTTCCGCCATGAAGTCTGCAAGAAATAGCAAAGTATTCATCTTATATACATCTAGCAGGAAGAAGATTAATTTGCTTAAGTTACAAAAACAGCTCACAAGAATCTGGTGACACTGATGGATATTTCTTAAGTGTTGTTTGAACATTTGGGTATCTAAACGTCCTTTCACATTTTTAAGTTATATTTTACAGATTTACTAGTTTTTGCACATTTAGGAATATTTTAACATGAGTTCCTTATGATATGGAAGAATGTGTCTACATGCCACTGTTTGTGTTCCCTCATGTTTTATATTCTACATTGAAGGTTACAGTTACATAAATCAGCATTAATTGTGTTTGTAAGAAATGAATGCAATGACTAATCTTCATTTATTCACCTTGTCTCTTTGTCTTTGTAGGACATGAGAAAGCATGTAATGATGACCCTCCTGGACACAGAGCAGTCATATGTTGAGTCTCTACGCACTCTTATTCAGGTGACACACTCAAACACTCACTCATCTGCTGATATTTCTCCCCTCATAAGCGAGCGTTGTTCTCAGACGCACATTATCTGTGCACACAGAAGGCAAAAAACTACCAACCGGCTTGTAAACTCAGAGCGCTGAGGCGATGAATAACAAATGTAGGTAGCAAAGGTGTTATGTAATCCACTTACTGTCATTCATTAGGCCAGGATTATCTGCTAACCTTATCACAACTCCCTGTCATCAGCAGTATCTGCCCACACACACACACACACACAAACACGCGCAGTAGAGCGTCTGGAAAACCAGAGAAGTAAAATCATAACAGCCTTTTAAATTTAAAACACACTTTCCAGCATTTTTGTGATCCAGTGCCGCTCAGACGGTTTTACAGAGAGTTGAGACCATAAAATGTCTTAATCCAGTTCAAAGATGTCTTTACATTACTGATCAGTTAATAATAATAATAATAATAATAATAATAATAATAATAATAATAATAATAATAATTGTAATTATAATATTAAAATATCTTTTTAAATGAGATTTCTAAGCGTATTTTATTTTAAATATATATATATATATATATATATATATATATATATATATATATATATATATATATATATTATATACACACACATCCACTCTCCTTATATGTCCCATACCTCTCTGTGCTTTACCCACTAACTAACCTTTACCCCACATCTTCAGCAGTACGATCTGTCTCTCCCTGTAGCACAGTTACACACACAGATTCAAGTACAAACTGCAACCACTTGGTTGAGCAGCCCGTCGCTGTTCGTTGTGTATGTTTGTTTAAGCTCCCTGCAGTGTGTGTGTGTGTGTGTGTGTGTGTGTGTGTGAGAGTTGTTTTTGTAGGGACATGTTACATCCCACATGCACACTGACTGCGCTCTTCTTGCTCATGTATTTCTGAGTTTGTGTGTGGCCACAAAGTGAATAATCCTCAGCTGTGTTCCCATGACGACACTGGGAAAAAGATGCGTTACCACGGAGACTGCAGAGTGCAGATCCTTGAGGGAGGGCTTCTGATGTGCTCCAGCTTAGGCCGCTCTGCAGCAGCGCCGGCCAGGACTCAAATCGAACCTTCTTCATTTGGGACTTTTTTGGAAAACTTTTTGTGCATAGCGTATTTAGTTTGAGTAATATGGTTAGCCATGATTGGATCAGATGTCTGCTCTGACATAGCTGCTCCTAACTCCCAAATGAAATGCATTAAGCAGTACTTTCGGAGGTGTAAATGAATGCTGGAGCACACATGGGTTAATAAGTGAATTACTTTTATTTTTCAGCACAAGTTTTCTTTCTGTGGTCTCTGAAAAATTGTTTTTGCGTGAAAATTTTGTTCACATACTTGTTGTTAACTACTTTGTTTAACATTATCAGTTTATTTTGATCTATTATGATGGTAGGTTGCAGACTGCTAATTAGCTTTAAAGCTAGAACTGACCCAGCAACATGCACTTGAATTTTTCTTGAGAAATATGACATCTGTATAAGGGAAATGTTGACACACAAATATGAAATATGAAAAAGAATCAAATGGTGAAGCAAACTTCACAGTTTGTTTTATTAAACAGTTAAAGATAGACATGCGCTAAACCAATCTTACATAAGATTATGTAATTCACAACACGATTCAAAACAACCTAGTTAAAGGCCGCACAGCTTCATCTTTTTTTTCTTTATAGTGTCTGGAGATTAAAAAAATACTGAGATCTTATGATGCACTTAATAAAAGCACAAGCTGAATCAGTGCTGCATTGACAAAATCTCAGTCCTGTCTACATTTCAAATGGCGTAAACTCCAGATTGTCTTGGTCATAAGCTATAAGGTCTGGTTTCTGTTTGTGGTGCCTGGAGGTCATATCCGGCTGAGTCCACTTCTGCTTAAATTGAATTTCCTAAATTCCCTCATGTTTACTGGTTCACAGCATGCATCTCACTTCTGGAGTTATGGTGTCTGACTCGAGCCCAGTTTTAACCCCACAATCAATAAAACTGGGAGACAAAGAAAAGGCAACAATATTAAAAGGAATTCAGATAAAAATTCAGGGTAGTTTAGTTGTGGAGGGGTTTTCTCAGTCCACAGCTCAAATGCTTAGCAGTCCCGACAACAAAAGTCAGAACTTCTCGTCATGTGGCTGTTCAAACCTTCACAAAATAAAACCCAGTGTTTAGTACAGCAAATCCATTTGAGTCGGTAAAACTGCAATAATCTCAATGCGGATTCCGCATCTTGTGCAAACCGAATCGTTCAGATTCAGTGAAGATCACGCTGATGCGGAGAAATAGAGACACGAATCAGTTTATGTGTGGATGGTGGGGGGCTCGCCGTAACAATCTCCCGGTTTAACAAACAGCAGATTTAGCCCATTGATCTGTTAAAACCGAATGAAAGCACCCTGTGGCTTATGCGCAGCGCTGGTGTGCTGGAAGAACGGTGGTGGGAAATAGAAAAAACTGATCCCAGAAAACAAAACAACGGAGATCACAGCAGAGGTACAAACATTGTTTATTTGGGATCTTGCAGATCCTGCTGAGCTGACTTTCTAACTCTGAGCTGAGTTGGTGTTTATTGCCGCCTCAGAACCAGACAGTTTTAGGGGGATTTGTGAACCTGTCTTCACATGAGCATCCCACTCATTGAGCTACAATGCCTTGCATTGGGGTATAAATTTAATTCCCAGGACGTTTTCTACATTTTATGACATTGGAGGACGACTTTATATGATGGAGCGATAAAAAGTAGCACATAACCGAGGAGCAGGATACACGGTTTTCGTTGTTGCGAATGTCAGATGGAAACATGCGACATGTATTTGCATTCAGGCCTCCTTTTACTCTCACACTCTTAAATCAAATGCACCGCAGCACATTGCTTTTAAAACTCACCTTACCAGTAAGCACAGTCTCCCTGTATTTATTTTAATCTCTATAAAACAGTGGTTCTCGAATAGCACACAGAATAAAGCTTAGTGCACATCACAGTGAACATGCTATTCCTGCAGAGGAACGCAGATATTAAGATTATGTTCACACTTCTGGCAAAAGTGGCCTAAATCCGACAACTTTCCCCATATTACTCGTTTCTGGTTTTGGTTTTTGGTTTTTGTGACTGTGTAACCAACACTGCGGCGCCCCCTACGGGACCTGGAGGATTTTTATTTTCCCCACAATACTTTTACGTTCCCTCGCAATAATTTACTGATCAGTTCATGTGGCATAATTGATTACCTTAAGCCTTTCTTATGGTGGCCATCGTATTTTCTGCTTCAATATAAGGTTATCGTAAGGTTTATCCATGTTAATATCTCTTTGTTTAATATCTGAAGTTTTATATCTTTTTCTTTAGAAAAATCACCACAAACTCATGATACAAACAGCAACTTTCCATAAGTAGGAAAGAAAGAAAAAAAACAAAACAAACATCCAAACTATTTGGACTCTTTCTGAGT